AGAAAGAAAAATCGACGGTGTGAGAAAAAAAAGACAGAGAAAGAGAGAGAGGAGAGGAAGAATGGGGCATGAAAGGCAGACAGAGAGAAGAGAGAAGAATAAAAAGGATTAGATAGAGAGAGAAAAAGAGGAGAAAGAGAAATAAACAGAGAGAAGAAGAGGAGAGCAAGGAAAAGAAAGAGAAAAAAAAGAAATAGCGATAGAGACAGAAAGAGAGAGAGGGGAGAAAAAGAGAAAGATAGTGGGAGAATAGAGAGATTGAGAGATTGAGAGGGTTCTCTTGGCACTGAGAACGAGGGCATGTCGATGAGGGGGGGTGAGAGAGGAAGTGCGAGTGGGGGATGGACAGAATGTGAGAATAAAGGAGAGCGAGCGTGTGATAGAGGTGAGAGAGTGAGAGGAAGAGAGGAGACAGCTGTGTTTATATGTGTTCAGTAAACAGCACAAGTCTTTTCATCACCCTCTCTCTCTGTATCTCTCTCTCTCGCTCTCTCTCTGTCTCTTACTCTCTCTCTATCTCTCTCACTCTTTCTCACACTCTCTGTCTCGCTCTCTCTCACTCTCTCTCTGTCTCTATCTCTCTCTCTCTCTCACTCCCTCTCTATCTCTCTTTCTCACTCTCTCTCTTTCTCTCTCTCACTTCCTCTCTGTCTGATTCCCTTTGTCGCTCGCTCATCACCTTTTTATCTTTACTTTCTCATACACTCTTAAACTCTCATACGCTCTTCAGGCGTTCCTTAATAAAGACAGTAGTTCTATACAGAACCATGAACACTCAAAGAACCCTGTGTATGATTAAAGGGTTCTTTGCATCACAAAATCGTTCTTCAGATTGATGGAGAATGTGCTGTATATAGTTCTATACACAACCTTTTGAAAAAGAGTTCTATATAGAACCAAAAAGAAGGTACACCCTTAAAAAAGATGGTTCTTCAAGGTTTCTTTAGTAAAGAAAATGGTTCTGTATAGAACCATGAACTCTCAAAGAACCCTCTGCATGGCTAAAGGGCTCTTTGCATCGTGAAAGTGTTCTTCAGACTGACAGAGAACGTGCTGGAACCTTTTTGAAAAGGGTCCTATATACCACCAAAAAGCGTTCTTCTATTGGTACAATGCCAAGATTGTAACAGTATAAGAACCCTATTTGGTGCTATTTAGAACCCTTTTCAAAGAGCTTCTGAAGAACGCTTCATAATGCAAAGAACCATTTAAGCATGGAAAGTGTTTGTTGAGTGTTACTGGTTCTATATAGAACCATTTACTTTACTAAAGAACCCTTAAAGAACCATATTTTTAATTTTTTTTTTAATTTTTATGGACTATGGGAGACCATAGTACACCCTTGAAAAAAGATGGTTCTTCAAGGTTTCTTTAATAAAGAAAATGGTTCTCTATAGAACCATGACCTCTCAAAGAACCCTCTGCATGGCTAAAGGGCTCTTTGCATCGTGAAAGTGTTCTTCAGATTGATAGAGAACGTGCTGTGGATGGTTCTATATGGAACCTTTTTGAAAAGGGTCCTATATACCACCAAAAAGGGTTCTTCTATTGTTACAAATTTGACATCGTTTTGGGCAAAAATGACCCCAAAATGTAGATCATAAGATCAAAGAGGGGGGCGTGGCTTCCTCCAGAGCCGCAGCGTATCGGCCAATCAGATTTGGGGAGAAACATGAAAATTGGCATATGCGATTGTGGCTGAGTTGTGCGCTGAATGCAGTGAAGAGGAAGTGCAGGAACATGATTCAGTGCAGTTTGGCGCGACAGTGCAGTCTCTAACGATGAATGAACGCTCTGTGCGTTTACGCGTCAAACGAAAGGTTCCGTCAAACAAAGCAGGTCATTATCGCGTTTAAGAGGGAGCGACTGCAGCGAGGCGACGGGCGGAATGAGTAAGAGACCCCGGCGAAGGAGAGAGAGAGAGAGAGAGAGAGAGAGAGGGAGGGGGCCGGCGAGAGAAGAAAAGACGGAAAAAAGGGAAGTCAGATGAAGGGAGGGGAAAAGAAGAGAGAGAGAAGAGAGGAAGAGAAAGAGAAAGACTTCCCTTCAAACAAATAACGTCTAGCTTATGAAAACCAGTTCAGCTGAGCGCTCATACGCCCGCCTCTGGCTCAGCATTTCTCGAGGCTCTGTTCCAGTAACAGAGAGAGTGTGTGTGAGAGAGAGAGAGTGTGTGTCAGAGAGAGAGAGAGAGTGTGAGAGAGCGAGAGTGAAAGTGCATGCAGGCAGAGCGAGATGGCCGTGGTGGAAGGAAACGGTTGCGTTAGGGGGGTTTCCACAGCGCTGCGTCTCCAGTCGCTCTGCAGCTGCAGCACAGCTACTTCAGTTCATCTGACGGACTGACAGACTGAAAATCACTCAACACTGACATTAAAGACGCCTCACATCAGAGAAACCCGGCAGAGCTCAGCTCCATCGGGTCAGGCAACCTGGGGTAACTAGGGGTTATCTGTGGAGTTACTGCGGGTAACTGAGGTAACTATGAGGTATCTCTGAGGTAACTATGGGTACCTCTGAGGTAACAAGTTACCCTAGATATCTCTGGAGTAACTATGGGGTATTTCTGAAGTTACTACGACATCTGTGGAGTTATGGGTAACTACGGTGTGTCTCTGGAGTAACTATGGGGTATTTCTGAAGTTACTACGACATCTGTGGAGTTACTACGGGGTGTTTCTAGAGTAACTATGGGGTATCTGTGGAGTCACTATGGGTAACTAGGGTAGCTATGGGTAACTGAGGTAAATATGGGGTATCTCTGGAGTCACTATGGGTAACTCTGGGGTAAATACAGAGTGTCTCTGGAGTAACTATAGGGTATTTCTGGAGTAACTTTGGGTAACTCTAGGGTAACCATAGCTTATCTCTGAGGTAACTATAGTGTATCTCTGGAGGAACAATGGGTAACTCTGGGGTAACTACAGGATATCTCTGGAGTAACTATGGGGTATCTCTGGAGTAACTATGGGTAACTCTGGGGTAAATATAGAGTGTCTCTGAGGTAAGTATAGTGTATCTCTGGAGGAACTATGGGTAACTCTGGGGTAACTACAGGATGTCTCTGGAGAAACTATGGGATACCTGTGAAGTTACTACGGGTAACCTCTGGGATATCTCTAGAGTAACTATAAGTAACTATAGGGTATCTCTGAAGTAAATATAGAGTATCTCTGGAGTAACTATGGGTATCTCTGGGGTAACTATGAGCAAATATGGGGTAACTATGGGATATTTCTGGAGTAACAATGGGGTTTCTGAGGAGTTACTATGGGTAACTCTGGGACAACTAGAGGGTATCTCTGTAATAACTACAGGGTATCTCTGGAGTAACTATAGGTAACTCTGGGATAACTAGAGGGTATCTCTGAAGTAACTACAGGGTATCTCTGGGGTAACTATGGGATATCATTGGAGTAACAATGGGGTTTCTGAGGAGTTACTATGGGTAACTCTGGGATAACTAGAGGGTATCTCTGAAGTAACTTCAGGGTATCTCCGGGCTAACTATGGGGTAACTCTGGAGTAACTATGGGGCATCTGTGGAGTTACTACGGGGTGTTTCTAGAGTAACTATGGGGAATCTGTGGAGTCACTATGGGTAACTAGGGTAGCTATGGGTAACTGAGGTAAATATGGGGTATCTCTGGAGTCACTATGGGTAACTCTGGGGTAACCATAGCTTATCTCTGAGGTAACTATAGTGTATCTCTGGAGGAACAATGGGTAACTCTGGGGTAACTACAGGATATCTCTGGAGTAACTATGGGGTGTCTGAAGTTACTACAACATGTGTGGAGTTACGGGTAACTATAGGTAACTCTGAGGTAACTCTAGGGTATCTGGAGTAACTATGGGGTATCTCTGGAGTAACTATGGGGTATCTGTGGAGTTACTGTGGGTAACTAGGGTAACTATGGGTATCTGAAGTAACTATGGGGTATCTCTGGAGTAACTATGGGTAACTCTGGGGTAAATATAGAGTGTCTCTGGAGTAACTATGGGTATCTCTGGGGTAACTATGAGCAAATATGGGGCAACTATGGGATATTTCTGGAGTAACAATGGGGTTTCTGAGGAGTTACTATGGGTAACTCTGGGACAACTAGAGGGTATCTCTGTAATAACTACAGGGTATCTCTGGAGTAACTATAGGTAACTCTGGGATAACTAGAGGGTATCTCTGAAGTAACTACAGGGTATCTCTGGGGTAACTATGGGATATCACTGGAGTAACAATGGGGTTTCTGAGGAGTTACTATGGGTAACTCTGGGATAACTAGAGGGTATCTCTGTAATAACTACAGGGTATCTCTGGAGTAACTATAGGTAACTCTGGGATAACTAGAGGGTATCTCTGAAGTAACTTCAGGGTATCTCCGGGGTAACTATGGGGTAACTCTGGAGTAACTATGGGGCATCTGTGGAGCTACTATGGGTAACTCTTGTGGGTAACTATGGGGTAACTCTAGAATAACTCTGGTGTAACTATGAGGTATCTGTGGAGTTTCTACAGGTAACTGGGGTAACTATGGGGTATCTCTGAAGTAACTATGGGTAACTCGTGGCTAATTCTGGGTAACTATGGGATAACTCTAGGGTAACTCTGGTATAACTATGGGGTAATTCCAGAGTAATCGAATTGCAGGATATTTCCGAAAAATCTTTGAGGTCATTCTGGAATAACTAAGGGTTAACTCTGAATAGTTCTTGAGTAACTATGGAGTAATTCTGGAGGATCTATGGGAAAACTCTGAAGTAACCATGGGCTAATTCTGGAGTAACAGGAAAGCACCCCAGAGACCCAAAATGCAGTGCTTAGGCATTAGAAGAATGTCTACAACCCTGTTCCTAGAGATGCAGCCCATTTAGCTCCAAACTCAGCTTATGGTAGAAAGTATTTTTATCGGCTTGGCCAGTTTTTTAACTAGCGCTCTGCCGAAGAACAGCCTGTTTATTTTCTACAGAGGCAAAAACGATCACTCAGCAACGTTGAAGCACACCTGGTCGAAGAGCTGTTTGCCGGTGGTGTTTGGCAGGATGGCAAACTCCAACTCTGCGTCCATCGTAGTCACACGGACACTGATCTGCAACAGACAGAAACAAACCAGAGGGTGAACAAAGCTAATCGAAACACAAAACGTGCGTAACCGCATTAAAAAGCACGCCGGCGAGCGACTGAGCGAGAGTGAGTGGATGTGAAAAACAGAAACGAGCACAAATGAAAAAAGCAAACGTAAAAGAAAGCGAACAAACGAGGAAGAACAAATAAATCCCGACAGACCAGCTGTTCATACGAGGGCACGGTTTTATCAAAGCACCTCCACTTCCCCTGCTGAGATAATGTTACCGCAGTATTTGAAGAAAATTCTTCAGTTATCGTGATTGTGCAAGTGTGACAGGGTCAGTGTGGGGATTTGTACCGTGTGCTAACATGATTGATCACACTCTGGAATTCAGAGTAAGATAAAAACAATGGAAGGAAACAGAAAGAAGGAAGACTGGAAAGAGAACCATCACCACCCCCCTCTCTCTCTCTCTCTCTCTCTCTGTGACACTGTGTATCTCTCTCGCTCGTCACTCCACTCTATTCTACTATAAAAAAACTATGACCACAACCTCTGGTAACCATGGGCAGCCATTTAGGAAACAGTTTACTCAGGGAAGAGATCATAACACCACACATAGTTACAACCTAAAGATGACCTCTTACTCAACCGCGCACCTCTACATTCTTAAAAAGGGTTCTTCCAGGGTTCTTTAGTGAAGAAAATGGTTCTATATAAACACACCAAGACCATTTGCGTGATTAAATGATTCAATATTGCGTTATTAAATATTACTTCAGATTGATGGAGAATGTGTTGTGTATGGTCCTATATAGAACCTTTTTGGAAAGGGTTCTGAATAGGACCAAAAAGGGTTCTTCTATAGTTATGATGTCCATCTTGTATACAATCTTCAAAATGGTGGTTCTTTAAGAGTAAAAAAAAAATGGTTATATTTAGAACCATAAATGCTTTGCATGATCGAAGGGTTCTTTGCACCATGAAAGGGCTCCTCAAATTGTGCTGTGGATGGTTCTATATAGAACCTTTTTGAGAAGAGTTGTCCAAACCACCAAAAGGGTTCTTATATTGCTACGATGTCAGGCTTTAACGACTGAAAAATTCTTTTTGGTTCTACATAGAACCCTTTTCAAAAAGGTTGTCTATAGAACTATATATAACATTCTCCATTAATCTGAAGGACCCATAATACAAAGAACCCTTTAATCATGCATAGAGTTCTTTGAGTGTTCTTGGTTCTGTATAGAACTATTTTCTTTACTAAAGAACCCTTGAAGAACCTGTGCATAGTACACTTTAAAAAGAAATTCTTCAAGGGTTCTTTAGAGGATCTCCCAGTGTTCTTCAAGGGTTTTGAAAACAATCTTGGGGAAAATCAGAAACTATTTGGTTCTAAGTTCTATTTAACACACTTCTGTACCATCTTTTATAAGTGGGTACAGTACTCTTAAAAAGATGGTTCTATACAAAACACTTAGAGAATCATTTGCGTGATTAAAGTGTTCTTTGCATGGAGAAATGGTTCTTCATAAGGATGGAGAATGAGTTGTGTATGGTTCTATATAGAACCTTTTCGAAAATGGTTCTATATAGCACCAAAAAGGGTTCTTCTATCATTTTGATGTCAATCTTGTATACAATCTTAGAACTGATGGTTCTTCAAGAGTAAAAAAAAAGGATCTATATAGAGCCATGAACGCTTTGCATGGTTAAAGGGTTCTCTGCATGCTGAAAGCGTTCTTCAGAATGTGCCGTAGATGGTTCTGTATAGAACCTTTTGAAAAGAATTCGCTATAGCACCAAAAGGGTTCTTCTACTGCTACGATGTCAAGCTTGTAACAACAGAAGAACCCTTTTTGGTGCTATTTAGAACCATCTACAGCACATTCTCTATCACTCTGAAAAATGCTTTCATGATGCAAAGAACCCTTCAACCCTTTAACTAGTGTTCTTGGTTTTATACAGAACCATTTTCTTTACTAAACAACCCTCAAAGAACCATCTTTTATAAAGGTGTACAGTACACTCTTAAAAAAGTTCTTCAAGGGTTCTTTAGTAAAGAAAATGGTTCTATATAAAACACTCAGAGAATCATTTGCATGGTGAAATGGTTCTTCATAAGGATGGAGAATGTGTGGTATATGGTTCTACAGAAAACCTGTTTGAAAAGGGTGCTGTACAGAACCACACTGGTGCTATAAAGAACCACATTAATCCTAAGAGCCATTTCACCATGCAAATGGCTCTTTGAGTGCTCATGGTCCTATATATAGAACCATTTTCTTTACTAAAGAGCCCTTCTAGAACCATGTTTTAATTTTAAGAGCGTACAGCTCCTTTTACAGGAGGCCTTCACACCCGGGTGACAATTGACAATGAACTCCTTGTGATATTTCAAACATCTCATTAAAACGCACACGCGGTAATCTGAAAACAATCCTGGGTTCTAAGTTCTATGTAACAAACCTCTGTACCTTTCCTGTAACGAGACCTCATGTATGTGTATAGTGCAGTGTTTTATGCGCCGCTGCCAGGAGAAAAGATATCAACTACTTTTTTGAAAACAAGAAATTCTTGTTATTTTTGTTTATTCTAGTGGTGACGATGTTATTCTGTAGTGTTACTGTGTTTTTATCGGATCACATTATAAATAAACAAAACAGAACCAAAAGTTAATACCTAGAAAAATGGCCTTTAACTGTTTTCCCAGGTGCCTCTGCGGAGTAGTATGAATCTATCGGTAAATATAAGAGTTCATATTTGTACCCTGACCTGAATAGAATGCACATAAAGTGCCGTCACACATGATGCTAATATTTCAATGTATTTCGCTGTTTCGTTAAAAGGGGCTTAAATGGGACTCGATATAACAAAAAATACAAAAAGATAAAACGCATGAAAATCTGTACTGAACACCCACTTTAACCGGATCCCTGCTGGGTGTCCACCTTTAAAAATGCAGAAGGAAAACAAAAAGCAGCAGCCTGCTTTCACAGGACTCCTCCCTTGCTTGCACACTGCTGGCTGAGAGCCCATGGCGAGGACAGGAAGTGCCCTCTCTGGTTTATATTTCTGGCGTAAATTTCCTTTCTAGGTTGTTATCTGGATGCTTGAGAGACCCTGAGCAGATCCCTCTTGTCGAACGGCAGTTCATTTGCATCAGAAAGTGTAAGCAGGTGTACTGGAGTGTTTAGTGAGGATGTTCATGAAGTAATATCCCCTATTTTAGTGAATAGGAGCGTGTATTAAGGTTGTTTACAGACTAATATCTCCTATTCTAACATGTAAGGGTGTTTGTTGTGTTCATTTATGGACTAATATCTCCTATTCTAACATGTAGGGGTGTTTATTGTGTTCATTTATGGACTAATATCTCCTATTCTAACATGTAGGGGTGTTTATTGTGTTCATTTATGGACTAATATCTCCTATTCTATCGTGTAGGGGTGTTAATTGTGTTCATTTATGGACTAATATCTCCTATTCTATCGTGTAGGGGTGTTAATTGTGTTCATTTATGGACTAATATCTCCTATTCTAACATGTAGGGGTGTTTATTGTGTTCATTTATGGACTAATATCTCCTATTCTAACATGTAGGGGTGTTTATTGTGTTCATTTATGGACTAATATCTCCTATTCTATCGTGTAGGGGTGTTTATTGTGTTCATTTATGGACTAATATCTCCTATTCTAACATGTAGGGGTGTTTATTGTGTTCATTTATGGACTAATATTTCCTATTCTAACATGTAAGGGTGTTTATTGTGTTCATTTATGGACTAATATCTCCTATTCTACTGTATAAGAGCATTTACTGAGGTTGTTCATGGGCTAATATCTCCTATTCTACTGAATAATTGCGTTCATTATGGTTGTTTACTGACTAATATCTCCAATTGTTTATGAACTGATATCTCCGAACATAGCATACAGAGGTGTTTATTAATGCTGTGTAGGGAGTAACATCTCCTATTCTAGCATGTAGAAGTGTTTACTAGGGTTGTTTATGGACTAATATTGCCTATTCTAGCATGTAGAGGTGTTTATTGAGGTTCCTTATGGACTGATATCTCCAAACATAGCATGCAGAGGTCTTTCTTAATGTTGTTTATGGAGTAATACCTTCTATTTTAGCATGTAGAGGTGTTAATTGTAGTCGTTCATGCACTAATATCTCCCATTCCTGTGTATAGGGCCGTTTATTGGGTTGTTTATGGACTAATATCTCCTATTCTTGCATGTATAGGTGTTTATTGAGGTTGTTTATGGACTAATATCTCCTATTGAAGTGTATGGGGGCATTTATTGAATGAATTTATGGCTAGTATCTCCAATTTAGTGTATAGTAGCATTTATTAAGGTTGTTTATGGACAAATATCTCCTCTTCTAGCAAGTAGAGATGTTTAGTAAGGTTGTTTATGGACTAATATCTCCTATTCTGGCATGTGGAGGTGTTTAGTGAGGTGGCTTATGGACTAATATCTCCTAATCTAGCGTAAAGGAGTGTTTATTGGGGTTGTTTATGGATTAATTTTTCCTAATCTAGTGTCTAGGACCGTGTATTGAGTTCCTTTATAGACTAATATCTCCTATTCTCGTGTATGAGGACATTTATGGAGTGATGTCCTCTATTCTGAATCTGGGAATATAGCTATAATACTCATCACAAAAAGAAAATCATCACAGAAAACACAGTTTTTTGCACAAACAGTATGTCTAAAAGGGTTAAATTAACAAAAGGGCACAGTCTCTGTAGTGGAGTCATTCAAATGACACATCTGATTTTACGCTTCCCCGTCTAAACAGCTGCAGCGCTAACAGTGAACTTCAGCACATTCTACACTGCACTATTAGCTCGGAGCAGTATGTGTTAATAGGTTTTGAGTGCGAGAGACAGAGAGAGAGAGAGAGGGAGAGAGAGAGAGAAAGGGAGAGAGAGAGAGGGAGAGAGAGAGGGAGAGAGAGAGAGAGAAAGGGAGAGAGAGAGCGAGGGAAGGTAATAAATAGCTGAGCT